CTGGTCAGCTATTAACAACCATTCAGTCGTCATTTTGCAAGAGTTTCCCGTCCTTCTCCAGCCTGTATTCTTTAGGAAATGCAAGTAGGTATATGAGCCTATACTAAATAGAAATAAGTATTGAGTAAAATAGGCTATGTTTGGGTTACGTGCAGAATCAGCCGGGTATATGTGACTCCTGTAACAGGGGTATGATAAAAGTAACATTTCTATTATAAGTATGCAGAAATATGATAAAGCCATTCGTTTAACTTTTTTTTATACTCTTTAAAAAATCCAAACTAAATCATAATCTAAATCTGCGCTTTAAAATATCACTTTTCTGTAGGAGTTCGCAGTCCCAGGTGGTCCACGGAAGGTGTGTTCAAGAGTACCTGCCAATTAAGTTTTTCGTGAAGCCCGCGTATCCTGGAGGCTCAATAGCTCAAGACTTCGTGATGGTGGAATCTGGCTGTCAAGTGGCTGTGGACTTCCACCATAGAGAGTGGAAAGGCCTCCCTGCACCGGACGACTCACAGCCAAAGATCGAAAGAAAAGATGTAGTGGAGATGTCGCGACAGAGTGATAGGCAGCTGTTTTAAGAAAAAGGGCCAAATGCTGAATGACTGATTTGGTAATTGGAAATGAGATTATTCTATATCAGTCTTAAATTTCGGATTATCCATATCTGACCTATCAATAACACACAAATAAACAAAAAATGTATGGAGTTACGAAATCAATAAGTAGACATAAAAGACATATAAATTTATCTAACAACGAAATCAGTATGGACAAACGGACTGAAAAAAAACTGGCATGAAAAGGCGAATCAAAGAACATGTAACCCCATGTTAGTAGGTTCGTTTATCTGGGGAAATAGCTGAGCATTTACATATATACACTTGTACACTTCTAATATGCTAGAACCTACTGATTTAAGGTCATAGGTTAGATATTTTTTTTTAAACAATACATTTTGGAAATGAATTAAAATCAAAGTCAATCAAAATATTGCTAATCAATATGATTCAGTCTCGTAGATTATCTGAATTTAGTTTCCCTTTAATGTTATTAGATTAATAGGTTTACAGTTTTAGTTAATACTGATCATAGTAGACAGTAATGGAAGAATTGATATTATATCTAGATCCAATGTTATTATCGTTTACTATATTGTTGTTGTTATTATTGTTATTATTAGTAGTAGCATTATTACTAGTATTTTTGTTAATATCGGTATTCGTTTTATTATTCTAATATGATCGTTACTGTTGTTATTGCAATTAGTCTTATTGATAAGATTACTATTAGAAATTATAGCATTGTTCTAACTAGTAGTAATAGTATTGTTACTGATATTAATAATTGTTATGATCGAATGTAATCACATTAATTATTATTATCATAAGTATCTCTGCATCTTTAAAACCAGCAATGGAAAAGGGGTATCGGAATTAAAATTAGGAAAATGAAATAGCGAAATCAATGATGATTATTATAATAATGATACCAATTACACGGAATTGGTTTCACGAAGAAGTCTTAGATTCCGATATTTGTTTTAAGAAAAAAAAATCATATCAGTGTCAATGTTGGTAATTGAACCCACATCTATATCGTAATAAATTCTATTTTGATTTGTTGTAATAAGACGATATGGTAAATGCGGCAATCAAATTTGCTTATATCATAACAGTAATATTGCAAATTATGTAAATCTAAATGTGATGTTGCATCCTTACGCTTACTTCCATTGCATCAGTTGTAAAGGCGGGCGCTGCTGTTTGTATATTTTAAATAAAATACAACAGTAATAGTGTAGGAGACTTTTCAATTAATGTCTGATAATTTGTCAAAAGAGGTCTCGAAACTTTTCGAATTATTTCCAGAGCGGGATAATCTTCAGCAGAGGTAAATTAGCATAAGAACAAATTAAAAACAATCCCATGCAGACGTGAATAGTAGCTAAATATTAGTAATATAAGATACGACAAATCTAACGATATTCTAATAACCGGGCTCCCCAAATAGGCATAGCCCGAGCGAGGCTCTGCTTCGCGAATCTAAAAAAAAAAAAAAAAAAAAAAAAAAAAAAAAAAAAAAAAAACGATATTCTAAGATTTTCTTATCAAATTTGATGCAGATTTTAGTTGAATGTATAAAATGTGTGATAGTATTGTTATTATAGAAATAAGATTTTTCGCAATAGGTAGTTTTAGCATATCACTGCAATCAGTTACCTTCATAGTCTAACAATGTAAATGTTTATTCCATTACCAGCTTTAACTTTGAGATGTGGCAAGTTTTTTTGTTTTGTTTTTTGCCCCAGGTTGATTTGTCGGTTGACTATTCAAATTTCATTATAACATAGCAAGGCCAAAATGTCTTGGAAATTATTATTTAAAGTGGTAAGAATCTGTATTATCTGCGTTAAAATGATGTCTCTTGTTTGCAAGTTATTATATATATATGTGTGAGTGTGTCTATACACACACACATATAGAAGATATATGTATATATATATATATATATATATATATATATATATATATATAAATATATATATATATATATATATATATATATATAATAATATATATATATATATATAAATATATATATATATATATATATATATATATATATATATATATATATATATATATGTATATATGACTTTATATTACATACTTTTCTCGCAAGAGCATGTAATGAAAATGTCTTAAGCATCTTGAAGACAGTTATAATTATCATTATTTATTTATCATAATAATAATAATTATTATTATAATTGTTTTGATTGGGAATCGGGGGTAGGATTCTCTACCACTGACCGTACCCATGATCCATGTGTAAAAAAAACAATTTCTAATTTCATCATTCTTTTATTATCTTTACATGAGTATTTGCACGTTAAAAATAATATCTCTCTATTTACAATCTACATTATATCCTTCAAAGATAACCGTACCAAAGCACAAATGACAGTGAATTACCAGGTGCCTATCTATCTACTGCCAAGCACTCAAGGTGGGGAAGTGCCCATTAACCTACAGCAGAAGCACGCGGTTTATACCTCACTGAATACCTGTCATTCCTAACTAACATACGCGGCTCATTTTTATAGCCTCCCAGAGTACTGCAAATCTATTCCTGATTCTTGCCATTACAACGTAACTGATCGTATCGTTTCTGTGCTGGAAAAAAAACCTTACGTTTCTCGCTCAGAGCAAGAGGCGTAAGGAAGGACGAATTTCGAGCACCCGTTTTCGCACCAATCAACCGGAATAATTTGAAAATTTCACGTTTACGAATGGTTGCCTGTTTTCTTGGCCAGTGACACGTATCACAAAGGACTTTCCGGATTTTGTATTTCCCAGATAGCACCATAATATCACTTTTTTTAATAAGATTTTTTTTTATACACCAATTAGCTCTATTCTACCTTAATGGAAATTGTTACATTTCAAAATATATATTTTTTTGTCTTCAATTTATTCACTATATGTTTCCCTCACATTTCTATTCCATTGAGAAAAGAAAGAAAGAAAGAAAAAAAAAAACGTTTCTTCATAAAATACTGACATATAAAAAAAAGTTTTAGTCTTTGATCCCGAAGTATCAAAGACCACTTTTGTTTTTCTTTTCTTTTTCATCTCCTCTTACTCTCTCCAAAACGACTCTTGGTTCTTACTACACGAGGGCAACCAACAATAAAACTCTAACCCAAGAGCTAAAGCGGGTAGATAAAGTGGAGCGATAAACGTGGTGAGAAGAGAGAGGAATAAAGACTGAATGGCGGGAGAGAGCGAATGCAAAAGACATGGCAAAAATCCTTGATTAATTGGGTGTTCCTGAGGCGGGAGAAAAGGGCAGTGAGGAAACGTGAGTAAAAGTATGAGGAGACAGACAGTACAGATAATTCTGAGATGTTTCAGTATGAGTTTGAAATGTAAATGCAAAGGGAGTGTAGGATTTGCCCCTTTGAATATCTATGAAGGCACTTATTACGTAACTGATGCGCTGGACATTATCAGTTTGCATAGGGGGTTTCATATATATATGTATAATGTACACCGATACAGTGTAGTCAAGACTTATATGTGAATATATGTGTATGAGTGTATTCCCATTTTCTATAAATATTCCCATTTTCTGAGACTATTCCCATTTTCTATGAGTCTATTCTCATTTTCTATGAGTTTGTTCCCATTTTCTACGTCTAAACACGAGTGGTTGCCAACTAGAAAGTAAAAGAATAATTGATAAATACTAAGAGGATCGCTGACTCGCTTATTCCAAACGTATTAGATCTGAGCAATGAGTCATTTAAGAAGTATAGAGAAAAACCAGAACAAAGTAGCTAAATAGCTGCCTGAGTCACGCGGATTTGACGGTAAAAAGAGGAAAATTCTGACCCGACTTTGCATTTTGCGATGTATATATATAATTCAAACCATCGACCACCACACATCTTGCCTGGTCTTGTCTTTCTTATGAAAGTTCGGTCGTTTATAGCCACTGAATGTTAACATTAGAACTGCAAATAAAGTGATATCTTTAAAAAAAAGATCTTGGAAAATCTGCTTACGTGTTAAACAAATTCCAAGACACTCAAATTTCAATACATATCTGATCCCTTTTGATTACAGCTTCTCAAAACTATAATTTTCAAGGATTATTATTATTATTATTTTTAGAAAGCTGTTGAAATTTGAATTTGCTTTTAATCGTTGAGTACGAACAGTGGCATACTTAACTCCTTTTAGAGCGAAGAAAACTTAAAAATAAAGCAACAACTGTTTGCTCAATATTTAGTCATCGCGTGTGGAAAGGCCATCAACGAGACGTCACGTTACCTGGATGTGACGTCATGCGACTAAATGTGACGTCAGAGAGAGAGAGAGAGAGAGAGAGAGAGAGAGAGAGAGAGAGAGAGAGAGAGAGAGAGAGAGAGAGAGAGAGAGAGAGAGAGAGAAGAGAGAGAAAGGAGAGAGAGAGAGAAAAGAAAGAAGAAGAGAGAGAGAGAGAGAGATTGTGTGTGTTTGTGCGTGTTTGTGTATGTTTGTGTGTGTGTGTGTGTGTGTGTGTGTGTGTGTGTGTGTGTGTGTGTGTGTGTGTGTGTGTGTGCGCGCGTGCGTGTGCGTGTGCGCGTGTGTGTATGTGTGTCTACCGTGGTATGCAGAAAAGTGTCCTTGGTGCATGACACAGCAACGAGCCCTCTCTGTCCGTGCGCACGGGCGATATCAAACAAATCACAATCAATAACACCATCCTGAATCACTAACACTGGACTCCCTATAGATAAAACAAAAGACTATCACGCATGTCACACGCCATCAATCGCAACCATGGGTTTGATCCTCCGTCTGTAGAATCGTAGTCAGGTTGGGCAGGATGTCAGGGAGTTGCGTCACGTCGTTTATGGTGAAGGCTGGCTGGACTTCCTTAGACGGGTCTTTGTTCTTGCTGTTGATCCAGACCGTCGCTGCCAGGCCGGCGTTCAGGCCTCCTAGGATGTCGGTCTCCAGTTTGTCGCCGACCATGATGCATTCGGAAGGTCTCACCTGCGAAAAGAAATAGTGGTGATGAGAATGATTATAATGATACTTATGAGAGGTATAGTGATAATAATACTAATATTATAGAACACAACAATGATGATAATGATGATAGAATGTAGTTAAAACATCTTTTAGACATAATCAATGATGGTTACACTAATGAAAAGAAGTAACAGAAGTCTTTTCCTGTTGGCTGATGCCAGAATAAGCAAATCCAGTTTCTAAAAGAATGCTACTAACTCACCGTAATGAAAAAAAATCCTATATAAAAAAATATTTATCATTCACATGCAGTTCTCCTCTTACCATGATAAAGCTTAAAAAAATCGTTACAAAAAAACTCCTCTTCATATTTAGCTGAAGTTCTCCCCGTATCACAATGATGTAAATTACTCATCATATTTTCCCAGCAATTCTCTCCATAACATAATGAATAAAAAAAAACGCCAAAAGTCGAAATTCCTCTTCATATTTACCTGCAGTTCTCCACAAGCCATATGATATATATCCTTATCAGGTTTCTCAACTTCCAGATCTCCACTAACGATGATGGAGTCGAAATACTTCTTGCAGCCTATTTCGTTTATCTTTTCCCATTGAGCAACAGATGGTCCTGAAGATGGAAAACAGAAAAATGAGACAGTATTTCAAGGCATCGATTCTGTTTCAGATTATGAAATCTCGTGATACTGTATTTCATAGATTTTGTCAATATGGTTTGCGGTGAAAGAAAGTATCATATATTGATTATATATATTTCTAATAACTGTGTTTGGGTGGGGGCGTGTTTATAACCGATATCAATGATATATGATGTTAGTTGAGTGAGTGCAGAGTATTAAAAATACATCTAAAATGCCCGATAACAAATTAATATTCCTTATAAAAATCAAAATATATGTCAAATGCCTGGTTAGCAAATTGCCATTTCTTATAAAAACAGAAATATAAGGAAACTGCCTGGCTACCAAATCACTATATCGTATATATAAAAAGCCTGGTTAACATATTACTTTTCCCCATAAAAATAAGAATAAAAGTATGCCTGGTTAGCAAATTATTCTTCCTTACAAAACGTCTAACTTATAAAACACAATACAAGGAAATTCAAGAAAATGCCTGGTTAGCAATTAAGGACCCTTATATAAAGAAAGAAAGAAAGGAAAAAAACACGCAAAATGGTTAGCAAATTACTGTGACATCTACAGTACTGACCATTGGTGATAAGTCCTAGGTTGAAGTCAGTCGCAAGTTCGTCGAGCATGCTGGTTACACTCGGTTTCAAGGACAGCTGGTTTAGTCTTTCTGACTTCCATAGCGAGTACAGCTCGTCTAGAAGGAAAGAGAAAATTGGTCTTGATGTAAATAATGTAATGGATTGTATGGGTACAGTAATAGTTATTATGATAATAATGAGAATGAGAATAGCATTAACAGTAATGATATAAAACAATGGCAGTGGTGGTGATGATGATAATGATGATGATGGCAATGATAATGTTATCCAACTTGTAAACAGTTGTTAAAAATTATAATGAATAGTGTTTATAATACAATCTTGTATAGTCTATAGCAGAGTTGGGTCTTCCATCGCCTTCCTCGTGCAATTACATTGCCATATAAACAACCGTAATG